TTAGGAGTCATAAGGTTTTGTGATCGATTATTCACTCTTTATACCCCAAATTAGGGCCTAACTATATTTATCCTGAGACCCGTGCTTCCTTTTGATTTGTTGATCTCTGTCATATATTTGGCATCTTGTATGCTCTGAGTGTGTCAAACTCCCTCTTTTGAGAGTTCTGATACACAGTTGAAATGGGAAATGCTATACAGAAGCCAATACATGTGTAGTTGGGCCTGAATTTCAACTGCTTAAGCAAGGGAAGGAAAGTCCAGGTGAGGAAGGAATAGCTTTTACGTAACAAATGAAACAACTCTCCCAGCTGCCAAAGTTCTTCTGCACCATCCTATGCCAATTCTTATCTGCATGCACCTTGATTGTTTGTGCTCCTTAATTAGGATGTGTTTCAGTTTCCTAATTCCTTCCCTGCAGTTTCACTTAGGTATAGTATTCTTCACCTAGTCTTTGTATATGCAGAAGACTGTATATAAATATACTTCATTTACATTCTTTCACTGCTCTTGCACTGTCTACAAACCCTAGCCTTGTGCAGTGCAGAAAGAACTAGGATAGAAAAAATATGTATTATTGTCCTAATGCAGAGTAATGCATAGAGTTTAAATATGTCAGAATTCTCATTTTTAACATTCTTGGTAAATAAATTTAATGAATTGCAAAAATTATTTTGATTCCATCCCTTCCCCAACACTTTTTATAACTAGTCCTTTGAGATCTGGGTGCATCTTGTTTTTCTCAGGTTACCTTTATGCATTCTCAGTTATTGACACACATAATATTTCTTTAACATAACGTTAAAATAGTGCACGCAAAAGAATTTATGTCTGGAACGTTATGAGAAACACAAACTGCCACTAAAAATAGAAACACAACCAGAAGTAAAGTCAATACACAAACTCCTTCAGATTATACCAAAAGAAGCACTTGGAAACACAAAAATGACCCTGTTTTGTTTATAGTTATGCATATTTTTTTTCTGGATAGCCAAATCAAATAGTGCTTATTTCTCAAAGGGTTAAAAAATGACGTTTTTGGGAAACAGTGATTGTATACTGTATCTATCCGGTAGATGGGTAGTAATGTCAAAAAGCTTGCATGTGAGGATGCTGGTTGAATTAAATAAACATCACCAGGACCGAGTGAAAATGTAAGGTTTGGCTGGAAGAAGAGTGAATTTAATAAAAGTAATAATTATTTTAAAAATAAAGATTGTCTTTAATCTTTTTTTTTTTCTTCCCCCTTTCAAAAAGAAAAATAACACCCATCCACATCAATGGGTGGGAGAGTTTGATGGGGCTAGTGGTGAAAGGGGCATAGTCTCAGTAGCAAGGGAGGGAGACATTCACCAGGGGACAGTAGGTAGCTCCTCCCCCTGGGAGTCTCCGGCAATCATTGGCTAGCTGGGGGAGAGGGGTGCTGATTGGCTGGCTCCCAGGATTTAACCTAGCACAAGGGCCAGGTAGACCCAAACCTTGTTACCTATTTGATGTATAAAAAGTATAGGCTAATAGTGCTGTTTGGTAATGTGCATGTGCCTTATTCAAACAGGGATTTGTTTGCCTAAATAAGGCCCAGATCCTGCAAAGACTTAAGCACATGCTTAACATAATACACGCTGAGGCCTGGCCTGCACCATACATTTACATCAGTGTAAGTTGCCTTGCGTCAACCTATTTATGCATGTGTCTATATTCAAATTTGTCTTCAGTTGATGTAAGTATTGCATTACGGTGATGCAGTAAAACTACCTCCTAAAACAGCATAGAACTGTTGGTGTCACTAGGCATAGCTACTAGGTAACTCGGGTGGATGGAAGGCCATAAGTGCCGATGAAACCTCCCTGCTCTGGGTCTAAGTGAACCACAGAACTCCATCTTGTGAACTTTCACCTACTTCCATGCTAATAGCCTATGCTGAAGCAGAATATGTAATGGTCAGCTTTTCTAGCAGACAGCTACGGTTTTGCTCGCACTAACAGAAACAGTAGTGATAATGCGGGGGAAAAGAGGAAGGGAAAGGCCTAATGTGTAGAGCTTGCAAGGTCAAAGGTAAGCATGTGAATGGGAAAGTTTCTAACATGCACAATGTGTACCTGCTGTAACTGCTATTGGGTAGGGAGGGGTATGAGGGAGAAACCAGAACAAAGGCTTACTGAACACAGCTTGGAATATAAAAGGGAACACTTGCTTGTATGTGCTGTGCTTGATTTGAGACGTGCCTGTCTCCCTGCACCACTTTGAGATCTCAAGTAAACTTTGTTTGCTTCTCCACCCCTGGTGTGTCTATTGGTGCGGCGCACACCGGGCAATGAACCCTGTTGCCCCCTCGGGGCCCATCTGGGCCGGCAACAGAACCATGGTCGATCTACTGCTGTAAACAAATAAAAAAAACAAACAAACAAAAAAGAGAGGGAGAGAATATACCTAACTGTAGTTTGTTTATTCAAATACGCAGAAGTGAAATAGTAATATACTAGAATTACAGGATATGTTTGCTACTCACAGGTTACCTATGGAGATAATTTCAGATAATGAAGTTCAGTTTACTATTAAGAAATTCCTAATTTTTTCAGGAGAAATAAGTGTGCTAGTTCTATTCTTTATCACCTTGCGCATATCATTTCACCCCTGTCCTACTGTTTCCCTTCCCACCCTTGCTCTGTTTGTTTATTACGAGTTCTTAGGGGAAGGGACTGTCTCTTGCTATATGTGTATACAAGGCCTAGCACAATAGGCCTGGAGGTGTTACAATAATAAACATAAAAATTTAGCATAAGGGACTGCATGAAAAAAACAGAAAATACATTATGGGATCACAGTTTTTTAACAAATCTAGTTGTAGGGAGGGGTGTGTCATGCATAATTATATAACTGTTATGGGTTTGTTTTCTATATACTGAACCTTTAAGTGTTTTAGGGATCTGCTTTCTATCGGGGGCAGCTGTGAGTGTGTCTTCAGTTCAGAGGCAGCTTATTTCAGAAGGGAGATACACTGCACTCTCTCATGGAGTTTTTGTTTTCCCTTAAGCTCAAAAAGCCATTCTGACTAGAAGTATATGAGTGTTCTGTGTTTGAAAAGGCATCATTGTTGGTAGTGGTGCCAAAGAGGATTGGGTGTGGATGTATGAGCTGAGGATGTATGAGTTTTTGAGGTCAGACAGCAGGAAATGGTGATATTCTTGGGGAAAATAAAGAGGAAGACAGTGTGGGAAGTGAGGCAGGAGAGTGGAGGCAGCAGGGGAGAATGGTGAAATGTACAGTGATTAGATGTGAATGATGCCCAGAAGAGGAAGGTATGTGTGTATCAAGGGATAGAAGATAGAAAACAAATAGTACCAGTCAAGACAGAGTTGAATCCTAAGAACTGCACTGATGTCAGAGGTTCCTGAGTCTGAAAGCTCTCTCCCTTGGCTCCTCTTGCTGCTATAGATGCCTCAAGGATGGAGGGTCTGGATTCTTTTATAAACCACCCCCAGAAAAATGGTGGACCTGGTGGAGGTGTGCCATGTGTGAGGGAGGCTGCTGGGCCCCTGGAGCAGCTTTGTGGTGTGATGGTGGTTGCTCAGGGTCTAGAGTGCTTGGCTTTCTTCTCTGGCTTTTGCAATTGCTATATTATGAATTATTTGGGAACTTTGTGCTGATTCATCTTTACAGTAAATGATTAATATGCTTAATATTCACTTGGGTGGTTTTTTGTTTAATCCTTGGTGTAGGAGAAATGTTTGTTATGCTGTATGCAGATAAATGAGTTTATTAAAGAAATATAGTGCTCCGTTTCTGATGCTGTGGCTGCAATATGTATAACTACAGTGGATTCTTTAAAGCTCTTAGAAAAAGTCTGATCCAAAAATAATACATCTTCTGAAGAAGCTATGAAAGGGACAAAGAATAAAAGATTGGAGGCTGGCATTTCTACAGGGTATAGTTAGTGTCTTAGGGCACGTCTTCACTACCCGCCGGATCGGCGGGTAGCAATCGGTCTATTGGGGATCGACTTATCGTGTCTAGTGAAGACGCGATAAAATCGATCCCTGATCGCTCTGCCGTCGACTCCGGAAATCCACCGTGGCAAGAGGTGGCAACGGAGTTGACGGTGGCGCGGCAGCGGTCGACTTGCCGCCGTCCTCACAGCCAGGTAAGTCGACCTAAAATACGCAACTTCAGCTACGCTATTCACGTAGCTGAAGTTGCGTATCTTAGGTCAACCCCCCGCTGTAGTGTAGACCTAGCCTTAGTGAATTTCCATACTTTGAAATCTTTTGGTTTCTTGTAAATTTAACCTTAATTCTGATTTTTTTTAAAATGCTTGTCTTTTGCTAACTATACAATGTTGTAAGGATTTTTACCCTTAAGCTACTGATATGTACTCTTAACTTTAACTTCACAGGCAAAATTTGTTTTTTGTTTGGGAATATTTTGTCTTTGAAGTTGAAGGTAGACTACTTCACAAGTAAAGAGTTAGATACTCCTAGTGCTGTGAGCAAATTCAGTAGTATCTGTGGTCCAGCTCCAACTCCCATTGAAGACTGTGGGAATCTTTCCACTGACTTCAATGAGAGTGAATTGAACTATATATGCTCAAGATGAACAACAGCCTTAGGCATTAGAATTTTATTTGGTGAGAAAATAACCCAAGGGTCCTGATTAACATTTATCTGTAAGCTTCTTGAAAAATGCCAGCTAAATAGGTGCTATAAACTGTCAGAGGCCTGGCAGGTCAGGCTTACTCTCCCTTCCAGTACTGCACTGCAAAGTTGTCATATTAATTAATTAATTTAGTTATTTATTCACTTGTATAACTGTAATTCCTAGGGGCCCCAGCCATAGAGCAGGATCCCATTGTGCTAGGCGCTGTACAAAAAGAACAAAAAGATTGTCCCTGCCCAGTAACTGTTACCCATGTAAATTAATGAAAATTCCAACATTATAGCACACTCAAAAGTATCTTAATCTGTTCTGTCTTTAATTACTTCAAATTTTTGCAACATTACAGCTCTTCCCAGCCCCAGCTTAGCTAAGGAAAAAGAAGATGATGTCTCCTGGACACCATTCCAAAAAGGAGTTTTGCGGTATGCCTGCTGAATTTATTTCCTGAAGTTATGATGCTGGCTTTAAGATTTTGTTAAAGAATCTTGTATCTTTTAATTGGATCTTTGAATTCTCTTTTTTTAGGGTAGCATTTTCATTTCAGTAGATTTATTGTGCATTTAAAAAATCTTCACTAGTGTCCTTCCTTTTTCATTTACCCTTTGTTACATATTATAAGTAAAAGGTAATGTTAGATCATCACAAATTAGAATATAAAGTATAAATGTTATTTGTTTGAACTGTCTTAACCCAATCTTGCCTTATTTTCCTATCAATTATAGTTACATCAGTACAAATAATTTAAATTTTTTTCTCCCAAAAATATTACCTATGGAAGCTAGTAGTTTTTGTCTCACTAAAATCCTTGATGATACTTTAATTACATTTCACTGTTCTTATTGGGAGCAATAATTACAAAAATAAAATTAATCAGAGAACAAAACAAGTATTTCCGAACTTCTGAGCTTCGATAATTTGGGGCCCAATCCTGCCATGATCTCTGGTTAGGTGGACACCTGTGATCTCATGAAGCTCTTTTGAAGTAAATGGCATTGAGGAGTCCATCTGTACAGAGTTTAGTGCAGCATCAGGGCCTTGGTTACTTAGGGATGTCTACCCTGCAGCTGGGAGTGTGCTTCCAAGCCTGTGTAGACAGACACAAGCTAGCTCTGCTGGAGCTAGCATGCTAAAAACAGCAGTGTGGACACTTGTGGCAGGGGCAGTGGCACAGGCTACCCACCTGAGTATGTACCCAGGGGGTCAGGTGGGCTTGTCCTGGGATGGCTAGCCCTTGCTGCTGCCTGTGCTGCAATGTCCATGCTGCTGTTTTTAGTGTACAGCTCTAGCAGAGCTAACGTATGTCTGTCTACTGGGATGGGAAGCACGCTCCCAGTTGCAGGACTATGCAGTCCCTACCCTTAAGAACTCGTAATAAACAAAACAGACATGCCTTTAGGGTCCTTTATTTCAGGTCATTACTCACATGATGAGTAATCCCATTGATTTCACATGAGTGCAGATAGTCTCACTGGCTATTTTTTTGTGTCCCCCCGCCCATTTCTTAGTAGAATTCTAGGAAGCATCTGATCTTTATTGCTTACATTTTCGTCTTTCTTCAGCTTAGGTAGAATTTGGCTGTTTTTATTTTCACTAATGTGATTTAATTATGTTCTGATTTTGCTGAGCACAACTCTTCATTGTGCTCATAAATTCTGGATCATCTCAGGCCTCAAGAGACTTTATTTATGAAGATTAATTTGTCAAACACTGCTGAGGGTGTATCATTTTATAATACTGTCTCTTGATACACAATAGTATTATCCCCATTTTACACATGGGGAATTGAGGCACAGAAATGAAAACCAAAATTGTCAAAACTTTTAACTAATTGTAGGGGCTCAATGTAAGTTTAGGGCCTGAGTTTCCAGAGTACTTAACACTTTACATGTTCAGAGGAGGATTCCCATTGATATCAGTTGCTGTTGTGAGTGCTCATCTTTTCTGAAAATCAGACCGGGGGTGTCTCAAGTTGGGTACCCAGAAAATGAGGAAGAAACAGTGGCCACCTTTGAAAACTTTTGTTTGTGACTTGTCCAGCATTACATAGAAACTCTGTGGCAGAGGCAGGTATAGAATCCAGTTCTCCAGGATGGCATTCAGCTGCCTTAACCATGAGACCATCCTTTCTCTTCCTGCAACTCCCTGCCTCATTTGTTCATTACACATCTTCCAACTTCTGCAACAAATGAAGCAGGGATCCTACAGACTATAGTCTCTTTAACTATGCTACGCTTATCCATTCCCATAGCACAATCTGTGCACTGAATAAAAATGGTTGTGTAGAAAAAATAGTATGTGGTCATGTAACTAAAGACTATATCATAATTCATCCGCACAAGGAGGATGATTTAAGATTACACAGGCAATGTTCATTCAGGCATTTTTAAACTTTTGAGCACTTGACTTTGGAAACTTCATGTTCTTTTGACATAGTTTTTAATGTAATTTAAGTTTTTAAACTTAAAAATTGAAAAAAAAAAAAAATGTAATGTAGAACTATCTTGACTCCTTCACATGGGTCATCTGTGGGAGCTAATGAAGTAACTGATAACAGTAAATGACTGCAATCTTTTATGTTGACGTGCCACTAGAGGGGGTTTAGAGACAGTTTGCCAGTGGATTTTACAGGCATTTTCTAGACAGCAAAGGAATGATGCTCATCAGGAATAATACTCAATTCCAGGTTTGGTTGGGGAGTGTGCTCTAATGGTCACAGAGCCTTCTGACCCTGTCCTGCTCCTATCCACTCGTCCTCCCCAGCTCCTGCTCCTAATCACCCCCCCTGTTTTTTTTCCAGCCCTGGTCCTCTCTTCCCTCCAGCTCCTGCCCTTGCTTCTGCCCCTAGCTTCCTCGTGCAACCCCTCTCTCCTGTTTTCTCCTACCCTTTTCCTCTCCAGGGATCCTGCCCGCTTTCCCTCACTTTTTTTGTCTTCCCCCATCGCTGGATCCTGCTGCTAACCATCCTCACCATCTGCATTTCTTCCCTCTTGCCCCTGGTCCCCATTCTTCTGAATTTGAGTGAGGCAGCTTCCTCCTTCTCCCTCAAATTGCCTGGGCACCAGCAGGGGAGCATTGAGAGCTCAGGACTGTATGTCTCTTTCTGCTCTCACTTCTACTGCCCAGTGCCACAACAACCCCACAACTACTGTAAAAAGCAATTGCAGGGAGAGTTCTATTCAGCCACTGCAGTTCAGGGCTGGAGCATGCTCAGTGGCTCTGTGCATGTACAGTCTGATCACCGGGGTTGGCTCTGGGCACCCACATTCAGGAGTGGGGGGAATGGAGGAGGGAGCCCTCCGTGGATGAAAAGCTTGTCTCTCTCACCAACAGAAGATACTACCTCACCCACCTTATCTCTATAATAATTTTATTTCTCAGTTACAAAAATATTGGTGTGACAGGATAATTTCTCAGGTGTTCTCTACATACAAATTTGCACCAGTTTAGTAAAACCTATTTAGTTAAACCAGTGCAAGCCCAGGTGTGGACAGTTTTAGGGCTTGTTGACGCTTGAAATGCTACAGCTGTAGCTCTTCAGTGTAGACCCTACGTACACCGATGGGAGGGGTTTTCCCGTTGTTATAGGTAATCCACCTCTTGAAAGGTGGTAGCTAGGTCGACAGAATTCTTCCATTGAACTAGTACTGTCTAAACTGGGGGGTAGGTTGGCTTAACTATGTCACACAGTGAGGTAGATTTTTTTCACACCCTGAGTAATGTAGCTGGGTCAACGTAACTTTTTAGTGTTGACCAGGTTTTATTTCAGTTTGAGTGGTTTATTTTGGTTTCTCTTAATCCAACTGTTTAAACTAAACAGAAATAAACTCAAATAAGTGGCCCCACTGGGATTTGCACTGGTTGAACTAAACCAGTACAATTCTGCATATAGACAAACACTTTGTTTAATAATTAAATATGTTTTTAAAATCCTTCAAGTAAACCTAACCAGGTTCTCTAAGGGATCCTCTTCCCTTTCAGTTGTCTATGAAGCAGCCTCAGGGACCCCAGCATTTCCCTCTATGGGTTCCTGCTACTAAATTTGTTTCCAGTACTACTGACCACTGAGCATGGGTTCTTGACTGGTTTGTTTTTTAGATTATTTTTATATAAAATAAAAAATCAGGTAAATCACCCATTATATAACTCATGATATACAACAAGAAACATTTAAATAAACCTTTAAGTTGGGCCGAAACCTGGATAAGTGAGTTTTCACCTGCAGTCATCTGGGGAATACAGTTGACCCAAAGAGGCTAATGTGACTTCTCTCTCCATAAATTAGTTTGCTTCCCCATTCAAAATTGTATTCCAGATTATGTTTGGAGAAGTACAGTAACACAGTGCTTCTTTTGTCTGAAGTTTGGGGACCCACTTTAAGAGATTTGTGTCATTACCTGTCCTTAAAATATAACAAGTACAACAGAGAAGGAAGAAGTAGCAGACTGCTTTTAGAAAGGCAAATCTGAGCAAGCAATACTATAGCAACATTACTCTCTTGTTACAATTCTAAAATATAAATCCACTTACATTTTTTATGGGTTTCATAAAATGGATTTAAGTGCTTGTGACAATTTTATGTATAACAGTAAAATGACAATATGGGGATGCCAAAATAAGAATATAAGTTCTTACTTGTAAGGGGGAAGAGAAGGCATTTTTCTTAGGCACACATTTTGATTTTTCCACAAGATGCAGGCTTTCTCAGCCCCATCAACTTGGTGCTTTATGACTTACTGGACTTTGTATTAGACATTCTTGAAAATCTGGGGTGGATCATTTGCTGTCTAGTTTTTAGGTAAGCCCGCCATCCCCACACACACCAGGAGTTGTGTATGTGATGTTTTATCATTTAGGGAATTGAGGAGGTTGTTTTTTTTAAGAACTACTATTGTACACAGCCAACGTGAGTGAATGAAACATAGAACTGCACAAAGTGTCTTTGGAAATATAGCCTTTATTTAGTTGGGGAGTCTGGAAATGTATTTGATAAATTTTGTGGTTCTGGGCACAGTGTAAATGAGACATTTACTGGTACTGCAGTATGTAAATCTGTGAAATGTTTTTTCTGGCTCTATGTCCTACAACTAGCCAACAACTCTTGTAATAACTTCTAGCACTGAAAGGAAACGTATTGGATACAGACTTCTGATTTAATAAAACCCTCAAAATAGGTTTTTAGGTTAAATATATTTATAACATGCAGGTGTCTGAGACAGTATCATAAAATATGTACACATAAACTTAGTGCAGAAAAAAAGCTAAAATGCACTTTGGGGGAAATTATTTTCTTGTTTGGAGCAATCACACAATTTTATTACTGGAAAAAAACACAATTGTCTCTCACGCTATAGATTGTATCGAAACTCAGTTCACTGGTTTTTTTCAGGTTTTCTCCCACCCTAACCATGCACCTTGAGAAGTT